CCAGGCAAGCTCGTGGACCAAGCAAGCTCCTAGACCACGCAAGCTCTTGGACCAGGCAAGCTCTTGGACAAGGCAAGCTCTTGGACCAGGCAAGCTCGTGGACCATGCAAGCTCCTGGACCACGCAAGCTCCTAGACCACGCAAGCTCTTGGACCAGGCACGCTCCTGGACCAGGCAAGCTCTTGGACCAGGCAGGCTTCTGGACTAAGCAAGCTTTTGGACTAGGCAAGCTCCTGGACCAGGCACGCTCGTGGACCATGCACGCTCTTTGACCAGGCAAGCTCTTGGACCAGGCAGGCTCGTGGACCAAGCAAGCACCTGGACCAGGCAAGCTCCCGGACCAGGCAAGCTCCTTGACCAGGCAAGCTCCTAGACCAGGCAAGCTCCTGGACCAGGCTCGCTCGTAGACCAGGCACACTCCTGGACCAGGCACGCTCTTGGACCACGCAAGCTAGTGGATCGACACGCTCCTGGACCAGGCAAGCTCGTGGAACGGGCAAGCTCATCGACCAGGCAAGCTCTTGGACCAGGCAAGCTCCTGGACCAGGCAAGCTCCTGGACCAAGAAAGCTCCTGGACAAGGCAAGCTCTTGGACCAGGCACGCTCGTGGAACAGGCAAGCTCCTGGACCAAGCAAGCTCCTGGACCAGGCAAGCTCCTGGACCAGGATAGCTCCTCGACCAGGCAAGCTCCTGGACCAGGCACGCTCCTGGACCATGCAAGCTCCTAGACCAGGCAAGCTCCTGGACCAGGCAAGTTTCTGGACCAGGCAAACTCATGGACCAGGCACGCTCCTGGACCAAGGAAGCTCCTTGACCAGGCAAGCTCCTAGACCAGGCAAGCTCCAGGACCAGGCAAGCTCCTGGACCTCGCAAGCTCGTGGACCGGGCAAGCTCCTCGACCAGGCAAGCTCTTGGACCAGGCAAGCTCCTGGACCAGGCAAGCTCCTGGACCAGGCAAGCTCCTGGACCAGGCAAGCTCTTGGACCAGGCAAGCTCCTGGACCAGGCAAGCTCTTGGACCAAGAAAGCTCCTGGACAAGGCAAGCTCCTAGACCAGGCACGCTCGTGGAACAGGCAAGCTCATGGACCAGGCAAGCTCCTGGACCAGGCAAGCTCCTAGACCAGGCAAGCTCGTGGACCAGGCAAGCTCGTGGATCAGGCAAGCTCGTGGACCAGGCAAGCTCCTGGACCGCGCAAGCTCCTAGACCACGCAAGCTCTTGGACCAGGCACGCTCCTTGACCAGGCAAGCTCTTGGACCAGGCAGGCTTCTGGACCAAGCAAGCTTTTGGACCAGGCAAGCTCCTGGACCAGGCAAGCTCCTGGACCAGGCACACTCGTGGACCATGCACGCTCTTAAACCAGGCAAGCTCTTGGACCAGGCAGGCTCGTGGACCATGCAAGCTCCAGGACCAGGCAAGCTCCCAAACCAGGCAAGCTCCTTGACCAGGCAAGCTTCTGGACTAGGCAAGCTCCTGGACCAAGCACGCTCGTAGACCATGCTCGCTCCTGGACCAGGCAAGCTCCTGGACGAGGCAAGCTAACGGACCAAGAAAGCTCTTGGACAAGGCAAGCTCCAGGACCAGGCACGCTCGTGGAACAGGCAACTCCTGGACCAGGCAAGCTCCTGGACCAGGATAGCTCCTAGACCATGCAAGCTCCTGGACCAGGCAAGCTCATGGACCATGCAAGCTGCTAGACTAGGCAAGCTCCTAGACCAGGCAAGCTTCTGGACCAGGCAAACTCGTGGATCAGGCACGCTCCTGGACCAGGCAAGCTCCTGGACCAGGCAAGCTCCTAGACCAGGCAAGCTCCTTGACCAGGCAAGCTCCTGGACCACGTAAGCTCTTGGACCAGGCAAGCTCTTGGACCATGCAAAGCTCCTGGACCAGGCAAGCTCTTGGACCAGGCAAGCTCCTGGACCACGCAAGCTCCTGGACCACGCAAGCTCTTGGACCAGGCACGCTCGTGGACCTGGCAAGCTCTTGGACCTCTGGACCAAGCAAGCTATTGGACCACGCAAGCTCCTGGACCAGGCAAGCTGTTGGACCAGGCAAGCTACTGGACCTGGCAAGCTCTTGGACCAGGAAATCTCCTGGACTAAGCAAGCTCCTCTACCAGGCAAGCTAACAGACCAAGAAAGCTCCTAGACAAGGCAAGCTCCTGGACCAGGAATGCTCGTGGAAGAGGCAAGCTCCTGGACCAGGCAAGCTCCTGGACCAGGCAAGCTCCTGGACCAGGCAAGCTCCTGGACCAAGATAGCTCCTGGACCAGGCAAGCTCTTGGACCAGGCAAGCTCCTGGACCAGGCAAGCTCTTGGACCAAGAAAGCTCCTGGACAAGGCAAGCTCCTAGACCAGGCACGCTCGTGGAACAGGCAAGCTCATGGACCAGGCAAGCTCCTGGACCAGGCAAGCTCCTAGACCAGGCAAGCTCGTGGACCAGGCAAGCTCGTGGATCAGGCAAGCTCGTGGACCAGGCAAGCTCCTGGACCGCGCAAGCTCCTAGACCACGCAAGCTCTTGGACCAGGCACGCTCCTTGACCAGGCAAGCTCTTGGACCAGGCAGGCTTCTGGACCAAGCAAGCTTTTGGACCAGGCAAGCTCCTGGACCAGGCAAGCTCCTGGACCAGGCACACTCGTGGACCATGCACGCTCTTAAACCAGGCAAGCTCTTGGACCAGGCAGGCTCGTGGACCATGCAAGCTCCAGGACCAGGCAAGCTCCCAAACCAGGCAAGCTCCTTGACCAGGCAAGCTTCTGGACTAGGCAAGCTCCTGGACCAAGCACGCTCGTAGACCATGCTCGCTCCTGGACCAGGCAAGCTCCTGGACGAGGCAAGCTAACGGACCAAGAAAGCTCTTGGACAAGGCAAGCTCCAGGACCAGGCACGCTCGTGGAACAGGCAACTCCTGGACCAGGCAAGCTCCTGGACCAGGATAGCTCCTAGACCATGCAAGCTCCTGGACCAGGCAAGCTCATGGACCATGCAAGCTGCTAGACTAGGCAAGCTCCTAGACCAGGCAAGCTTCTGGACCAGGCAAACTCGTGGATCAGGCACGCTCCTGGACCAGGCAAGCTCCTGGACCAGGCAAGCTCCTAGACCAGGCAAGCTCCTTGACCAGGCAAGCTCCTGGACCACGTAAGCTCTTGGACCAGGCAAGCTCTTGGACCATGCAAAGCTCCTGGACCAGGCAAGCTCTTGGACCAGGCAAGCTCCTGGACCACGCAAGCTCCTGGACCACGCAAGCTCTTGGACCAGGCACGCTCGTGGACCTGGCAAGCTCTTGGACCTCTGGACCAAGCAAGCTCCTGGACCAGGCAAGCTCCTGGACCAGGCAAGCTCCTGGACCAAGATAGCTCCTGGACCAGGCAAGCTCCTGGACCAGGCACGCTCCTGGAGCATGCAAGCTCCTGGACCAGGCAAGCTTCTGGACCAGGCAAACTCCTGGACCTGGCACGCTCCTGGACGAGGCAAGCTCGTGGACCAGGCAAGCTCCTAGACCAGGCAAGCTCCTGGACCAGGCAAGCTCCTAGACCACGCAAGCTCTTGGACCAGGCAAGCTCTTGGTCCAGGCAAGCTCCTGGACTAGGCAAGCTCCTGGACCAGGCAAGCTCCTCGACCACGCAAGCTCCTGGATCATGCAAGCTCTTGGAACAGGCACACTCCTAGACCAGGCAAGCTCTTGGACCAGGCAGGCTTCTGGACCAAGCAAGCTATTGGACCACGCAAGTTCCTGGACCAGGCAAACTCCTGGACCAGGCACGCTCGTGGACCGTGCACGCTCCTGGACGAGGCAAGCTCTTGGACCGGGCAGTCTCGTGGACCAGGCAAGCTCCTGGACCTGGCAAGCTCCTGGACCAGGCAAGCTCCTTGACCAGGCAAGCTCCTGGACCAGGCAAGCTCCTGGACCAGGCACGCTCGTGGACCATGCACGCTCTTGGACTAGGCAAGCTCTTGGACCAAGCACGCTCCTAGAACAGGCAAGCTCTTGGACCAGGCAATCTCCTGGACCAGGCAAGCTCCTGGACCAGGATAGCTCATGGACCAGGCAAGCTTTTGGACCAGGCACGCTCCTGGACCATGCAAGCTCTTAGACCAGGCAAGCTCCTGGACCAGGCAAGCTTCTGGACCAGGCAAACTCGTGGACCAGGCACGAACTTGGACCAGACAAGCTCCTGGACCAGGCAAGCTCCTAGACCAGACAAGCTCCTGAACCATGCAAGCTCCTGGACCAGGCAAGCTCATGGACGGGGCAAGCTCCTTGACTAGGCAAGCTCCTGGACCAGGAAGGTTCATGGACCAAGCACGCTCGTGGACCATGCACGCTCTTGGACCAGGCAAGCTCTTGGACCAGGCACGCTCCTCGAACAGGCAAGCTCCTGGACCAGGCAAGCTCCTGGACCAGTATAGCTCCTGGACCAAGCAAGCACCTGGACCAGGCACGCTCCTGGACCATGCAAGCTCCTAGACCAGGCAAGCTTCTGGACCAGGCAAACTCGTAGACTAGGCACGCTCCAGGACCACGCAAGCTCCTGGACCAGGCAAGCTCCTAGACCAGGCAAGCTCGTGGACCACCCAAGCTCTTGGACCAGGCAAGATCCTAGACAAGGCAAGCTCCTGGACCAGGCAAGCTCCTAGACCAGGCAAGCTCTTGGACCAGGCAAGCTCCTGGACCACGCAAGCTCTTGGACCAGGCAAGCTCTTGGACCAGGCAAGCTCCTGGACCTCGCAAGCTCCTGGACCAGGCAAGCTCACGGACCAAGAAAGCTCCTGGACAAGGCAAGCTCCTGGACCAGGCACGCTCGTGGAAAAGGCAAGCTCCTGAACCAGGCACGCTCCTCGACCAGGCAAGCTCCTGGACCTCGCAAGCTCTTGGACAAGGCAAGCTCTTGGACGAGGCAAGCTCCTGGACATGGACGTAGACGTGGACGTGGACCTGGACGTGGACGTGGACATGGACGTGGACGTGGACGTGGAGGACTTGGACGTGGAGGATTTGGATGTGGATTGATGTGAACGTGGACGTGGACATGGACGTGGATGTGGACATGGACGTGGACGTGGACGTGGACGTGGAGGACTTGGACGTGGACATGGACGTGGACATGGACGTGGACTTGGACGTGGACATGGACTTGGACATGGACGTGGACATGGACGTGGACATGGACTTGGACATGGACAAGGACATGGACGTGGACGTGGACGTGGACGTGGACGTGGACGTGGACATGGACGTGGACATGGACGTGGACGTGGACATGGACGTGGACATGGACGTGGACATGGACGTGGACGTGGACGTGGACGTGGACGTGGACGTGGACGTGGACATGGACGTGGACATGGACGTGGACGTGGACGTGGACGTTGACGTGGACATGGAAGTGGACGTGGACGTGGACGTGGACGTGGACATGGACATGGACGTGGACGTGGACGTGGACGTGGACATGGACATGGACGTGGACGTGGACATGGACGTGGACGTGGACATGGACGTGGACATGGACGTGGACATGAACGTGGACATGGACGTGGACGTGGACGTGGACGTGGACGTGGACATGGACGTGGACATGGACGTGGACGTGGACGTGGACGTGGACGTCGACATGAACATGGACGTGGACGTGGACATGGACGTGGACGTGGACATGGACGTGGAGGACTTGGACGTGGACTTGGACGTGGACGTGGACGTGGACATGGACGTGGACGTGGACGTGGACGTGGACGTGGACATTGTCGTGGACGTGGACGTGGACGTGGACGTGGACGTGGACATTGTCGTGGTCGTGGACGTGGACGTGGACGTGGACGTGAACGTGGTCGTGGACGTGGACGTGGACGTGGACGTGGACGTTGAGGTGGACATGGACATGGACATGGACGTGGACGAGGACGTGGACGTGGACGTTGACGTGGACATGGAAGTGGACGTGGACGTGAACGTGGTCGTGGACACGGACGTGGACGTGGACGTGGACATGGATGTAGACGTGGACGTTGACGTGGTCGTTGACTTGGACGTGGAGGTGGACGTGGACGTGGACGTGGTCGTGGACATGGACGTGGACGTGGACGTGGACGTGGACATGGACGTTGACATGGACATGGACGTGGACCTGGACGTGGTCGTGGACGTGGTCGTGGACGTGGACGTGGTCGTGGACGTGGACGTGGTCGTGGACGTGGACGTGGACATGGACGTGGACGTGGACGTGGTCGTGGACGTGGTCATGGACGTGGAGGACTTGGACGTGGAGGACTTGGACGTGGAGGACTTGGACGTGGACGTGGACGTGGACGTGGACGTGGAAGTGGTCATGGACGTGGTCGTGGACGTGGAGGACTTGGACGTGGAGGACTTGGACGTGGACGTGGACATGGACGTGGACGTGGTCGTGGACGTGGATGTGGTCGTGGACGTGGTCGTGGACGTGGACGTGGTCGTGGACGTGGTCGTGGACGTGGACGTGGACGTGGTCGTGGACGTGGAGGACTTGGACGTGGAGGACTTGGACATGGACTGACGTGGACGCGGACGTGGACGGGGACGTGGACGCGGACGTGGACGCGGACGTGGACGCGGACGTGGACGTGGACGTGGACGTGGACGTGAACGTGGACGGGGACGTGGACGTGGACGTGGACGTTAACATTGATACGTGGACGCGGACGTGGACGTGGACGTGAACATTGATACGTGGACGTGGACGTGGTCGTGGACGTGGACGTGCACGTGGACGTGAACGTGGTCGTGGACGTGGACGTGCACGTGGATGTGAACGTGAACGTGGACGTGGACGTGAACGTAGACGTGGACGTGAACGTGGACGTGAACGTGAACGTGGACGTGAACGTGAACGTGAACGTGGACGTGGACGTGAACGTGGACGTGAACGTGAACGTGGACGTGGACGTGCACGTGGACGTGAACGTGAACGTGGACGTGAACGTGGATGTGGACGTGGACGCGGACGTGGACGTGGACGTGGACGTGAACATTGATACGTGGACGTGGACGTGGACGTGGACGTGGACATGGTCGTGGACGTGGACGTGGACGTAGACATGGTCGTGGACCTTGACGTGGACGTGGTCGTGGTCGTGGACGTGGTCGTGGACGTGGACATGGACGTGGACGTGGACGTTGACGTGGACGTGGACGTGGACATAGACGTGGACGTGGACGTGGCCGTGGACGTGGTCGTGGACATGGACGAGGACGTGGACGTGGACGTGGACGTGGGCGTTCACGTGGGTGTGGACGTGGACGTGGACGTGGACGTGGACGTGGGCGTTGACGTGGTCGTGGACGTGGTTGTGGACGTGGACGTGGACGTGAACATTGATACGTGGACGTGGACGTGGACGTGGTCGTGGACGTGGACGTGGACGTGGACGTGGACGTGGACGTGGTCGTGGACGTGGACGTGGACGTGGACGTGGACGTGGACGTGCACGTGGACGTGGACGTGAACGTGAACGTGGACGTGGACGTGGACGTGAACGTGAACGTGAACGTGAACGTGAACGTGGACGTGGACGTGAACGTGGACGTGGACGTGGACATGAACGTGGACGTGGACGTGAACGTGGACGTGGACGTGCACGTGGACGTGAACGTGAACGTGGACGTGAACGTGGACGTGGACGTGGACATGGTCGTGGACGTGGACGTGGACGTGGACGCGGACGTGGACGTGGACGTGGACGTGAACATTGATACGTGGACGTGGACGTGAACGTGGACGTGGACGTGGACATGGTCGTGGACGTGGACGTGGACGTAGACATGGTCGTGGACCTTGACGTGGACGTGGTCGTGGTCGTGGACGTGGTCGTGGACGTGGACATGGACGTGGACGTGGACGTAGACGTGGACGTGGACGTGGACATGGACGTGGACGTGGACGTGGACGTGGACGTGGACATGGACGTGGATCTGGACATGGACGTGGACGTGGTCGTAGTCGTAGACGTGGACGTGGACGTGGACGTGGACGTGGAGGACGTGGATGTGGAGGACGTGGACGTGGACGTGGAGGACGTGGACGTGGACGTGGACGTGGTCGTGGACGTGGAGGTTGACGTGGACGTGGACGTGGTCGTGGACGTGGAGGACTTGGACGTGGACATGGACGTGGACGTGGACGTGGACGTGGACATGGTCGTGGACGTGGACGTGGACGTGGACGTGGACGTGGACGTGGACGTGGACGTGGACATGGACGTGGACGTGGACGTCGACGTGGACGTGGACGTGAACGTGGACGTGGACATGGTCGTGGACGTGGACGTGGACATGGACGTGGACGTGAACGTGGACGTGGACGTGGACATGGACGTGGACGTACACGTGCACGTGGAAGTGGACATGGTCGTGGACGTGGACGTGAACGTGGACGTGGACGTGGACATGGTCGTGGACGTGGACCTGGACAGGAGCGTGCCTGGTCCACGACCGTGCCTGGTCCAGGAGCTTGCCTGGTCTAGGAGCTTGCCTGATATGGAGCTTGCCTGGTCCAGGAACTTGCCTGGTCCAGGAACGTGCCTGGTCCAGGAGCTTGCCTGGTCCATGAACGTGCCTGGTCCAGGAGCTTGCCTGGTCTAGGAACTTGCCTGGTCCAGGAACGTGCCTGGTCCAGGAGCTAGCCTGGTCCAGGAACGTGCCTGGTCCAGGAGCTTGCCTGGTCTAGGAGCTTGCCTGATCTGGAGCTTGCCTGGTCCAAGAGCTTGCCTGGTCCACGAGCCTGCCTGGTCCAAGAGCTTGCCTGGTCCAGGAACGTGCCTCGTCCACGAGCGTGCCTGGTCCAGGAGCTTGCCTGGTCCAGGAGCTTGCCTGGTCCAAAAGCTTGCCAGGTCCAAGAGCTTGCCTGGTCCAGGAGCTTGCGTGGTCCATGAGCTTGCCTGGTTCAGGAGCTTGCTTGGTCCACAAGCTTGCCTGGTCCAAGAGCTTGCCTCGTCCAGGAGCATGCCTGGTCCAAGAGCTTGCGTGGTCCTGGAGCTTGCCTTGTTCGGGAGCATGCCTGGTCCACGAGCGTGCCTGGTCCAGGAGCTTCCTGGTCCAGGAGCTTGCCTTGTCCAGGAGCTTGCCTGGTCCCTGAGCGTGCCTGGTCCACGAGCCTGCCTGGTCCAAGAGCTTGCGTGGTCTAAGAGCGTGCCTAGTCCACGAGCGTGCCTGGTCCAGGAGCTTGCCTGGTCCATGAGCTTGCCTTGTCCAGGAGCTTGCCTGGTCCAAGAGCTTGCTTGATCCAGGAGCATGCCTGGTTCAGGAGCTTGCCTGGTCCAGGAGCTTGCCTGGTCCTAGAGCGTGCCTGGTCCAGGAGCTTGCCTAGTCCAGGAGCTTGCTTGGTCCAGAAGCGTGCATGGTGCAAGAGCTTGCCTGGTCTAGGAGCGTGCCTGGTACAAGAGCATGCGTGGTCCCGGAGCTTGCCTTGTCCAGGAGCTTGCCTGGTCCAGGAGCGTGCTTGGTCTAGGAGCTTGCTTGGTTCAGGAGCATGCCTCGTCCACGAGCGTGCCTGGTCTAGGAGCTTGCTTGGTTCAGGAGCTTGCCTGGTCTAGGAGCTTGCCTGGTCCAGGAGCGTGCCCGGTCCAGGAGTGTGCCTAGTCCAGGAGCTTGCTTTGTCCAGAAGCTTGCCTGATCCAAGAGCTTGCCTGGTCTAGGAGCGTGCCTAGTCCAAGAGCTTGCCTAGTCTAGGAGCTTGCCTGGTCCAGGAGCTTGCCTGGTCCAGGAGCTTGCCTAGTCTAGGAGCGTGCCTGGTTCATGAGCTTGCCTGGTCCAGGAGCTTGCCTGGTCCAAGAGCTTGCGTGGTCCAAGAGCTTGCGTGGTCCTGGAGCTTGCCTGGTCCAGGTGCTTGCCTGGTCTAGGAGCTTGCCTAGTCCAGGAACTTGCGTGGTTCAGGAGCGTGCCTGGTCCACGAGTTTGCCTGGTCCAGAAGCTTGCCTGGTCCAGGAGCTTGCTTGGTCCAAGAGCTTGCCTGGTCCAGGAGCTTGCTTGGTCCAGGAGCTTGTCTGGTCCAGGAGCGTGCCTGGTCCACAAGTTTGCCTGGTCTAGAAGCTTGCCTGGTCCAGGAGCTTGCCTAGTCCAAGAGCTTGCCTGGTCCAGGAGCTTGCCTGGTCCAGAAGCTTGCCTAGTCCACTAGCTTGCCTGGTCCAAGAGCTTGCCTGGTCCAAGAGCTTGCGTGGTCCAAGAGCTTGCCTGGTCCAGGAGCTTGCCTGGTCTAGGGGCTTGCCTATTCCAGGAGCTTGCCTGGTCCAGGAGCGTGTCTGGTCCACGAGTTTGCCTGGTCAAGAAGCTTGGGTGGCCCAGAAGCTTGCCTGGTCCAAGAGTTTGCCTGGTCGAGGAGCTTGCCTGGTCCAGGAGCTTGCTGCGGAGATAACTACTACAACGGGAGCTAGACTACTGGCTAGGCACGTGTGCTCGTGTGATCTCTGCGTTCGTTGGTCCTTAGACGTTTTCCTAGTGCTAACATTGCTTGCTAGTTCATGTGGCAATTTGGCAAGAGTTTCACTAAGAAAAGATCACAACAATGGTACAATGAAGTTGGCAATGCAAGACTATATCAGAGCTAGCATTCAGGTTGGTCAACTGCCAGCACAGCATGGTCGACCGCATTCCAACACGACTTGGTCGACCGCACTCCAGCAGAGCAAAGTCGACAGCTTGCCAATGCTTCAGGTCGACGGTGTGCCAGCAGTGCACCCGCTTTGCAGGTGCGTGCAGATGATTGGTATGCCGAGCCTCATCACCTGCTCGACGACCATGCCTCGACGACCATGTCACTCGACGCCCGACTGCTCGACGCCCGACTGCTCGACGTCCTGACTGCTCGACGTCCTGCTACTCGACGTCGACCCCTCCTTCGTCGACCACCGGTCCAGTCGACCACCCGCAGGTCGACCAGCACATCAGCCGACCACCAAAGTCGGCTTCCCAAGTTGACGTCCTCCGCAGGTCGACGCTTAAGTCGACCTCCCCGAAGTTGGCGCCACCCCGAAGTCGGCGCCCGTGCAGTGGTCCCCGTGCAGGTCGACCTCCTCGTCGACCAGCTCGCCCACTACTGCAGGTCGGCTGCTCCCCTAACACCCGACCACGATGTCGGCTCCGCCCAAGCGTGGACGGGGCCAACATACAACTCCCGTTGACACTTGCCTGGTCGAGGAGCGTGCCTGGTCCACGAGTTTGCGTGGTCCAGAAGCTTGCCTAGTCCAGGAGCTTGCCTAGTCCAGGATCGTGCCTGGTCCACGAGCGTGCCTCGTCCAGGAGCTTGCCTGGTCGTGGCGCTTGCCTGGTCCAGGAGCTTGCCAGGCCCAGGAGCGTGCCTGGTCCACGAGCCTGCCTGGTCTAAGAGCTTGCCTGGTCCAGGAGCGTGCCTGGTCCACGAGCGTGCCTGGTCCAGGAGCTTGCTTGGTTCAGGAGCTTGCCTGGTCTAGGAGCTTGCCTGGTCCAGGAGTGTGCCTGGTCCAGGAGCTTGCTTTGTCCAGAAGCCTGCCTGATCCAAGAGCTTGCCTGGTCTAGGAGCGTGCCTAGTCCAAAAGCTTGCCTAGTCTAGGAGCTTGCCTGGTCCATGAGCGTGCCTGGTTCATGAGCTTGCCTGGTCCAGGAGCTTGCCTTTTCTAGGAGGTTGCCTGGTCCAAGAGCTTGCCTGGTCCAGGAGCTTGCCTGGTCCAGGAGCTTGCCTGGTCCAAGAGCTTGCCTAGTCCAAGAGCTTGCGTGGTCCTGGAGCTTGCCTGGTCCAGGAGCTTGCCTCGTCTAGGAGCTTGCCTAGTCCAGGAGCTTGCGTGGTCCAGGAGCGTGCCTGGTCCACGAGTTTGCTTGGTCCAGAAGCTTACCTGGTCCACGAGCTTGCTTGGTCCAAGAGCTTGCCTGGTCCAGGAGCTTGCCTGGTCCAGGAGCTTGTCTGGTCCACGAGTTTGCCTGGTCGAGAAGCTTGCCTGGTCCAGGAGCTTGCCTGGTCCAGGAGCTTGCCTGGTCCAGGAGCTTGCCTGGTCCAGGATCTTGCCTGGTCCAGGAGCTTGCCTAGTCCACTAGCTTGCCTGGTCTAAGAGCTTGCCTGGTCCAAGAGCTTGCGTGGTCCAGGAGCTTGCCTGGTCCAGGAGCTTGCCTGGTCTAGGGGCTTGCCTAGTCCAGGAGCTTGCCTAGTCCAGGAGCATGCCTGGTCCACGAGTTTGCCTGGTCAAGAAGCTTGCCTGGTCCAAGAGTTTGCCTGGTCCAGGAGCTTGCCTGGTCCAGGAGCTTGCCTGGTCAAGGAGCGTGCCTGGTCCACAAGTTTGCGTGGTCCAGAAGCTTGCCTAGTCCACGAGCTTACCTGGTCCAAGAGCTTGCCTGGTCCAAGAGCTTGCTTAGTCCACAAGCTTGCCTCGTCCACGAGATTGCATGGTCCAAGAGCTTGCCTGGTCCAAGAGCTTGAATGGTCCAGGAGCGTGCCTGGTCCAGGAGCGTGCCTGGTCCAGGAGCGTGCCTAGTCCACGAGCGTGCCTGGTCCAGGAGCGTGCCTGGTCCAGGTGGTTGCCTGGTCCAGGAGCGTGCCTGATTCACGAGATTGCCTGGTCCAAGAGCTTGCCTGGTCCAAGAGCTTGCGTGGTCCAGGAGCTTGCCTAGTCCAAGAGCTTGCCTAGTCTAAGAGCTTGCCTAGTCCAGGAGCTTGCCTAGTCCAAGAGCTTGCCTGGTCCAGGAGCTTGCTTGGTCCAGGAGCTTGCCTAGTCCACTAGCTTGCCTGGTCTAAGAGCTTGCGTGGTCCAAGAGCTTGCGTGGTCCAGGAGCTTGCCTGGTCCAGGAGCATGCCTGGTCTAGGGGCTTGCCTAGTCCAGGAGCTTGCCTGGTCCAAGAGCGTGCCTGGTCCACGAGTTTGCGTGGTCCAGAAGCTTGCCTAGTCCAGGAGCTTAACTGGTCCAAGAGCTTGCCTGGTCCAGGAGCTTGCTTAGTCCACAAGCTTGCCTGGTCCACGAGATTGCCTGGTCCAAGAGCTTGCCTGGTCTAGGAGCTTACGCGGTCCAGGAGTGTGCATGGTCCATTAGCGTGCCTGGTCCAGGAGCGTGCCTGGTCCATGAGCGTGCCTGGTCCAGGAGCGTGCCTGGTCCAGGTGCTTGCCTGGTCTAGGAGCGTGCCTGATCCACGAGCTTGCATGGTCCAGGACCTTGCCTGGTCTAAGAGCTTGCCTGGTCCAGGAGCGTGCCTGGTCCAGGAGCTTGCCTGATCCAGAAGCTTGCGTGGTCCAGGAGCTTGCCTGGTCTAGGATCTTGCCTGGTCCAGGCAAACTCGTGGACCAGGTACAGTCCTGGACCAGGCAAGCTCCTGGACCAGGCAAGCTCTTGGACCAGGCAAGCTCCTGGACCAGGCAAGCTCCTTGACCAGGCAAGCTCTTGGACCAGGCAAGCTCCTGGACCAGGCAAGCTCCTGGACTAGGCAAGCTCTTGGACCAGGCAAGCTCCTAGACCAGGCAAGCTCCTCGACCAGGCAAGCTCCTGCACAAGGCAAGCTCTTGGACCAGGCAAGCTCCTGGACCAGGCAAGCTCCTGGACTAGGCAAGCTCTTGGACCAGGCAAGCTCCTAGACCAAGCAAGCTCCTCGACCAGGCAAGCTCCTGCACAAGGCAAGCTCCTGGACGAGGC